TCTCTCTAATTCATAGACATGCATTACTCAATTACTAAAAATGGGAACTTACTCAATTACGAAAAACAGAAACAATAGAGAGAACTAATAATACTTTTGAAGAAAATTGCTTCGTTCCACACCAAAATCTTTAGAGAACAATGTGAAGCAATGTCATCTTTTATAGGAATAATTAGCTTATTCTTTTCCTACATGAATTCGTGCAATTAAGCTAAATTCTATGGGAGAAGATTAAATAAGAAAAAATATTATTGTCAAAAAAGGAAAAGGCTACAAAAAAAATATTGGCGGTGAGTAAACTGAATCCTATGGGAGAAAATTAAATAAAGAAAAATTGGTGTAAAAAAAGGAAAAGGCTTAAAAAAAAAGTTGAGCTATGTAGAACCAAATCGGCCAAAAAGTAGATCGGCCAAAAATAGGCGTCTAGAATTTGACCCAAAGTGAACTATGTAGCATTAATGTATGCGTAGTTTAAATGGAAAGAAAAATAGTCTCAGGTAATTTATAATTATATCCTTAAATTATACAAATTATTAAGGTTATAAAAGTCGATCAATATTTCAAGGATATTTTAGTTGTTCAACATTTAATCTAAATTATTCATGCTTTTATAATAATATAGATAGATAGATAGATATAAATAACTTTTCACCGAAACTCCGAGAGGTAAAAATTTTCCCCCTATTTAGTTTCTTATTTCAGTCGTTGGGACCGTATTATCAAGTAACTAAAATCTTTTAAAAATTTTATGATGCGTCGATAATTACTTTGTAGAAGAGAATCGGATTCTCGAGTTAGTCAAATTCGTTAATAATTGATGTTGCATTATTTTTAGACTGGAGTAGAGGTGCAAATTTATTTTTGAGTTGACTTCTGAGCTAAATTGTATGCAATCATATATTTGTTTTGTACTGCAGTAGGTCTGAGCAGTATTCAGAATATAATTCAAAACCAGTGCCCTAAATTTTTCTGCAAATCCAAGGCCTTTTTTCTCCTTACAATCAATGTTTAGACATTTCTTTCTCAATCTAGCTTACTTATTTCAGGTGTACAAAATTGTAAAGCTAGCTAATACACAACATATCTCATGAATTACAACTTGACCTAAAGCAGTCACTCGACTAACTCCAGGTCCAATAGAAGTAGTAAGCTTTACGACTACCCCAGCAGCAACAGTTGAAGCGGCCGAAATCGGTGGATAATTTCCTCATACAGCCAGTACGCAACGTTTTTTCATTACCTAGAATTGCAAGTCCCAATAGAGTTTTGAGAAACTCCTTTTTTTTCAAGGAAAGAGTAAGAAAGGAACCTCAGAAGCACAAAATCTATGCTACAGACATAGTCATAATCTGACGAGCAAGACCAGGATCTTGTTGTAAGAGCTCCCTAAGGTTATTCTCCACCTCCGCCAGATGCTTTTCTAGATACTCTTTAGAAGTCTGCAAAGATGCAATTGCGGTTTCACTATCCTTGAGTTTTTGGTCTTGCTCATCCATTAACAGTCTTTGGCTCTAAGATAAACGTTCTTCCTATGGCTTTGTATGTATTAGTATCATCAGAGAGCTGCTTCAGTTCCTCCAATGTCAAAAAAGCGCGCTTCTTTTCTGTTTCTTTAGTTCCCATCTGCGTTTGAACCTGCTTCAATTTCCCGGTAGTCTCAATCATGCGACCTTGAATTTCAATAAAAGCCGCTCTATTTGCTTCGTCGGCCATTTTTTCAACTTCAACTCCGAGTGCTGATACAGAAGCTGAAGCCCTAGTATATGATTCTACTTTCTGAAGCTGAGTGAGATTTGCCAACAAGAGAGAGACGGACTATGCAATCATATTGATTTTCTAATTGTCTGGGATATTGCTGATTATTTAGCTAGAAATAGATTTCTTATTTCATGTTTGTTGTTAAATTACAAAATGACCTTTTATTGGAAATATTATTTTATCTACTAATTATAGTTTATTTTGCAATAATTTTAGAAGAAATCTACCCGTAGACCAAGTTGAAGGAGTTTGACAAGCACTTAGTATTGGAGTATTAGAGCATGTAATGGCCTTATCACATCTTGCATGCCAAGTAAATTGTGATTAGCTAGCTTCTTCGATTTATAGTACTTATAATTTGTCACCTTGGCGCTCTTTCTGCCGCATGCTTTCATGCAAACACGGTTTATTATAAATTTCAAGATCTTGTTTCTAACTTTAAATAGCTATATATAATTACTTGATGTCTTCGTCAAATACGTGATCATGAAAGTCTTTTTAGTAGAGGAACAAAAGATTGCGAAGAAGGTTTTGAAGATTTAGAGAACCAAGAAAAGTACTGAGCCCAAGAGCTAGAAAATTATGAGAGTAATTCCCATGCTGCAGGAAATCATGACATGTATTTAGTTTTGGTAAGATATTATTTTGCTTTCTTTTTAAATGCGATATTTGATTTTTTTTTTCAGTTTGTTCAAAAATAATTTCAGCTGGGTTTTTATGCTTTATTGTAATGTTTAAAATCCCGATGGTGATTTTCAATATAGTTGTGAGTACGTAGCGCTTTTTTGCTTCAGTCTTAATCAGCAAGTTATTTTTTTAAAGAAAATTGATTAGTTATGAGTTGAAAATAATTAGTTGGTAAAACATCTTGTATTTATCAATTTATGAAAATAGTAATTGGTAATAAAATTAGTTTATTTATCCTATGTCCCAAAGAAACAAGATGCCTCGCACAAAGTTTTTAAAAAATTAGAATCAAGGTAAAGGTGTTGTATTTGATATTTGTTTGTTATCTGCACTTTTTTTGCTCGATGTTTTTGTTGTCATTAGGTTTTATTATTTGGTGGTGTATACATATGTTTGGTTTATATAGCATACTAAGTTTATAAGGAATTTGCTATAGTTACAAAAGGATAGAGGTCTAAAACATATGAAAAATTGAACCTGAGATGTCAAATACAATGTATATTTTGTTGTCAATATGTTTATTGTAGTGTATTGTGTACATATGCTGCAATGTGTGTGCGTTTGTATCATAATAAAATATCTCCGAGATAATTAACTGAATTTTTTACCTTTAGAAGTATATTTAATTTTAACTCAAATCACCATAAGATCTGTAAGTCATCAAACATTCTTAAATATAGGCTATCATGTATTTTGCAGTCAACTGCGATTAATTGTAAAGTTACTTATGAAAGATTTGTTTAAATGTTCCCACTTACTTCAGTTAATTCTTATTTTCTTTTAAATTGGGCAGTAATATAAAAAGTTGAAGAAAAAATCATTATATTGAATATGCGTTGCAATATAACTTTGTGTATTATTGGATAACAAAATAGTTAGAATAACAATAGCTAATTGATTTTTAACTCAAAAAAGGAGCTTAGAAAATGGGATCACCTAAAATTTTATATCTTCCTATACAAATTTTATATTAACTAACATGGACAAATGCGCATGTTCATCTTTACAAGTTCAAAAGATATTCAATTATTTTATGTTTAACTATTACATCAATGTAATAAATGAGTGTTGCATCTTCTTTGACAAACCTTACTATTTTATATTAATCCTTTTTTTTCGTACAAAAATTTTAATTGACTGACACGGTATACACGTGCAACTTATTCTAAAGCTAATTCTATGATAAGCAAAGAGTAGTAATATTGAACAGGACATATAGGTATATAAAAAAGAGATTTGCCTAGAAAAGGAAACCTTATTATGCGTAAACCTCTTATCAAGTCCAGTTCCCACTTTGTATAGAAAGATATAAACAGACTTTGGGGGATCTGACACATCGCTAATGTAATGCACGTCGAGATAGGAAATTTTTTCATATTATCACCAAATGTTTATTTCGTATGTCCATTCTAGTAGTAACATATAGTAAAAGGTAAAGTGTTTAAAGATTGCTTTGTGGAGATCATTGCACTGGATTTGACATTTATTATCCTTCCATAAGTTATTGTCTTCAATTCTCTATAAAAAAAAATACAAAGGTTCTTCTGATGATGGAATAACAGCTTATCATATTGTCACCAAGCAAGTATCATCTCGAAAAGATGAATATGTTTTCATTTAAATTGGTCCTTTTATTCGCTTTCTTGCTCCTTTCAAAAGGTCAGTTCAAAAATACTGATGTTTCCAAATCATTTATTTTCATATATTTCTTTCCTCTTCTATGCAAAAAGCTTAGAATTTTTGTTTCCCCTAAAAGAACTGGAATGAAGATGTAAATCGTTACACTATAAACATGCTCTTTTACATTAAACATTCTTACGAGTTTCTCAAAAAAGATGCAAATTTAAACCTGTATAGTCAAATTTTAAATATTTAATAGATGATGAAAATTTTACTTTATTGACACAACACTCATTTTCTTTTGAATTTTTATTTGAGAACTATAACAAAAAATGATATGAAGCTTCTTCGATATGTCCCCCCTCTAATGAATAGTGGCGTTGTCACCTTTGTTCAAGGGGTGTCGATTGACACTACTGAGATATGTTTAGTTAATAGTTAATCTCTAGATCTTTAGTTATTGTTAGATATTGGTTAGTAGTTAGATACAGTACTGTCAAATTAGCTATTAGCTATTAGTTAGCTAAGTTAATTATATAGCTGGCAACAGTACGTGTACATATACATAGATGTTGTAATAGTGGAAATAAGATGAGAGTCATTTTTCACATCTTTATTTTCCTCTGCTCTCCTCCCAGACATTTTCTTCTCCCTTTCGAACATTCTAGATCCTCCATTGAAGCTCTTGTAAAAGCTTCGTCTTAGCTCAGAGTAAGAAGCTCAATATGGTATCAGAGCCGGCGTGACATCCTCACCGGAGATCTGTCGGAATTTCTCTTTCTTAAGACCTCCTTCTCTCTGTCATCTGCTAGGTTTCGTTTTTGCGATTTCAAGCTGCAGAATTTGTGCGAAGTGAAAGCATTTTGCACGATTGAACAGTTTATTCAACGAGTTGCTTAGGAAATAAATCAATTCCATCATCTAGATCTTTTCTCATGGCTATCGATCAGACCGAAGAACTCACATCCAGTACGAGCAGAAACGATCAACCTATTATCGATGTAAGCAGTCCTCTATACATTCATCCTTCGGATAGTCCCGGAGTGACTCTAATACCAGTTCCTTTTGATAGAATTGGGTATAGGTCATGGAGAAGGAGTGTATTGAGAGCCCTGTCAGTCAAACATAAATTAGGGTTCGTGAATGGAGACTGTAGGAAGCCTCCTCCTAATTCTCCACAATTTTGTCAATGGGAAAGAAGTGACGATATGGTAACTTCCTGGATTCTCAATTCCCTGTCAAAGAAAATTTCCGATAGTGTTGAATATGTCAAATTATGGAGAGAATTGGAGGATCGATATGACCAAACGAATGGTGCAAAGTTGTATCAAATCCAAAAGGAGATTAATGATCTAGTCCAAGGATCCTTGGATATTACTGTCATACCTCCTTTTTCGGCTGCACCCCGCAAAGGGGCGTAAAGGGAGTTTTTTCAATTAAAGGACAATCGAAACGGGATTTTATTTAAAGATTCAGAATCGCCACTTGGGAGATTTATGGTGTCCCAAGTCACCGGTTTAATCCCAAATCGAGGAAAAGATTAACTCTGTTTAACAGTCCGCGCACCAGAAATCCGGATAAGAAATTCTGTTAACCCGGAAGAAGGTGTTAGGCATTCCTGAGTTCCGTGGTTCTAGCACGGTCGCTCAACTGTCATATTCGGCTTAATTATCCGATTTTTATACAATTATGAACCTATGTGCAAATTTTAACTTTTAACCGCTTTTATCATCATCAGTATTATTTTAACAGAGAATTGCAACGTTGCGAAAACGTATCTCGAGCCACGTCACATCAATGTACCCGTGGTTATCAACACATTTTGACTCCGTTGAGATTCGGATTTGGGTCACATAAATGTACACCCGAGTTTAAGAAAGTAAATTATTAAAGGCGCGCCTAAAGCGACTAGCGTATCGTCATTTTGGGGAAGGCCGTGAACCTTTGCTAAACGACCCATCCCGAAGTCTAAGGACTTTTACAAATACTTATAGAGGGCCCCGCAGCTTATGTATTTCGTTTGTCGAGGCTCATCTCATTCATTATTAAAAAAAAATTGCAACGTCATGGAAATGCATCTCGAATCACGTCACAATCAATGTACCCGTGATTGTCGGCATATTTCGACTTCGTTGAGATTTGGATTTGGGTCACATAAATGTGCACCCGGGTTTAAGGAGGTAATGTTATTAAAATGCACGCCTAAAGAGGCTAACGCGTGATTATTTTGGGGAAGACCGTGAAATTCACTAAACGGCTCGCCCCGAAATCTAAGTATTTCAATTATACATTTGAAGAGGGCCCCGCGACTTATGTGTTCTATTTATCGAGGCTCGTCTCATTTATTATTTAAAAGGTAAACCTAAAAGCGACTATGATTTTCTATTTAATATCATTGTCTCTAATAATAATAAAAAAAAACTTAGTTAATGTATGAATTACTATATTAAAATAAACATGCGTGTTTAAAAATGCCCAATTTTGGGGCCTTTGATCAAAGCATCGGGCTAGCAAACATGTTAGAGGCCTAAGGGGGAATGGGCTTGTTACCAAATTCAAATGATCCATACAATTGGGCCATGGTATGGCCCAAATTGCTCATATTAACTTAAACGATCCTGAATGACGTTTCTAAGCCATTAGTTTAATACCAATTCACTAATTCATTACCTATTGTAATTAAAACGAGTTAATAATGCACTGAAAGCAGGTAAACAACTCGCAAAATGATTTATATTTCTAAAACATGCAATTGACACCCCAACTCTGTTTTTAACTAACGGACCAGTCAACGTCATATACCACTGCCATCCTAACATCTAGTTTGACATTTACATGCCTACTATTACCAATTTGAAAAACGGCCCTTAATGCAAACACAATATCACAGGTTCCAAAACAGAATGCTAATTCCAGTTATTTGTAGCTTTAAATGTTTAAACTGAACACACACACTAAACTAGCTATAGCTAATGCCTACAATCGACGCTTTAACCAAATTCTGATACTATTTGCATTCTACACTTTCCTTTTCCTTTTAATTGATGTGGTACATTCCAGAATTATCCATTGGCATAAAAACTGACATTCAGACTTAGTCGAACAGAATCCAATGATCCAGTAATCTAACAGTCACAATCCCAATTAATTTAACAGTCCATCAAGCTCATTTTTAACTACAAGAATCAGTTACCATATGCTAACATGTTTCAGTATGAACTATATTAAAAAAATTCTCGTACAACTCCATTTCAGTCCACTTACTACATACCAACAGGGATCTATATACTAACAGCAGTGACTGAATAATTTAAATACATCAGTCATATAGAAACCAAAACAAAATTTCAACTCTTCACGTATATTCGAACTCCATGTTTTCAGCTTACAAATGCCAGAGTTACAGTTGTGTACCTGGAAATCAGTTACAATGGAAGAAGAAGAAGAAAACAGGCAGGTCAGCAGCAGCAGATAGCACAGCCCAACANATTTCAACTCTTCACGTATATTCGAACTCCATGTTTTCAGCTTACAAATGCCAGAGTTACAGTTGTGTACCTGGAAATCAGTTACAATGGAAGAAGAAGAAGAGATCAGCCACAGCAATACAACAGCAGCAGCAACAAACAAGGCCAAGCTCAAGACCAAACCACAGTCAAAGCCCAGGAAGAAAGAAGCTTAACCCAAAACATTGAATCTACTAGGAATTAGACTAGACAGAAATAGAACACCTTTCAACAATCAGATAATACCTAGCAACCCTCAAATAAATCACCAAATTCCTTCAAGTGTCTTGAACACCCAAGTACAGAACAGGAACAGAGAGATTTGAACTATTTCTGCTCTTGCAATTAATGTAACAGTGTGAGCTGATTGTCTAAAGCACTCTTTCAAGCTCTTAAGGTTCTAAAGTGTAGAAGAATTCAGTTTTAAAAGCTCTCAAGACAGCTGATCCTCAAATTTTTCTATGAGTTCCAGTTCTTAGAAAATGATTCAAAAAAGGAAACTCTCTCCAGATTTTTTCCAATCTAAGGTTTCTCCCCAGATTTTCAGAAATTATCCTATTCTCCGGTGTAAAAAAAAACCTCCCCCAACTCTGTCCTAAGTGATTCTATTTATAACCAACTGACCATGTCCATGATATTCCCTTACAGCCCATTATCAAGTGTCATGTGCGCAAAGGTATGGGCAGCCCATAATATTCAATTAATCCCCCATGCTTTTATGTTTTGTTCCCCACTAATACTAAATAATTTATTATTTTAATGGTACTCTAATACTTAGTGGACAGAACACTCAAACTACCCATTTCTTTCTGTTTTCAATTCCCAAATTACCCCCTAAAGTTCTGAAATTACTGTCATACCCACTCCCTTTCAATTTGTACCTAATCCATCAGCTATAACCAATTCAATTCGAATTCAAATGACCGTTCAAACTAGCATTTAAATCAGATCAAATGGCATCAACACAAGAACCACGATTCAGTCAGAATTGAAGTAGTACGAATCACATTATTATCAGGTTATTTAATCGGAATTGAAGCATGTAAAAACTAATCGACGACACTTATTCAATCGACTACACGAATTACAACACATACATTCACTAGCAAATAAGAATCGAACATGCACACAGGTGATTCCAATCGTATTGATGGAGACCGGGATTCATAATAAAACTTAACTAATCGATGACACTTATTCAAATCGACTATATAGTTTTATCACATTCATTAACCATGAGCAGAAAAAGTTTGACCAAATAAAGGGTCATTGAAGATGGGCAGAATCAGTCAACAAAAGAAATTGAAAAATCAATAAAACTAAACTGAACAAATAAACACAAAAATGGAAACAAACAGGAAAAGGGAAAATACCTTAAGAACTCAGAAACCGGACGACCCTGACTTGGACTCTGACTCGGACCTTTAATTGAGGTCGAACGGACCTTAATCGAGTGTTCTCAACTGAGAACACTTCGACTAAGGTCCACTAGACACCCAATTTCCTTTAATTTGGACAGATTTCAGCCTTTGGTTTTCTAGGGTTCTTGGGGGGTTCGATTTGGGGTTTGAACGGTTCTGGTCAGATTCGAACCAAACCAAGTGTGTTTTGGGCATGAGGGAGGTCAGGGACATGTCCGGTATGAGTTTGGGACTGGTTGGGGTAGATCTAGGTCCGGCTCGAATCTTCGATTGAAGATTCGAGAAGCTGGAGGTTGATTCGAGGCAAGCGGTTAACAGATCTATAACGAGGGTGGTCAAGGGGGTGCCTTGGTGTGAGTTTGGGACTGGTTGGGGTGGGTTTCAAGTTTGCTCGAATCTTCGATTGAAGATTCGAGAAGCTACAGTCTGATTCGAGTAAAACGGTTAAGGGATTCGTGGAGAGGATGGTTAGGTTCCCTAGGGGTGATAGTATCAAAGTCATCGGCGTCGTTGCCGCCGACTTTCAGGCGAAGGGGTTTCAAGGCGGCTAGGGTTTGGAGGGTTGTTTGACTTGGTCTCTGAAGGAGATGATGAACAGGGATGTGGCTTAGGGGGGTGTGAGTTGAGAGGTTGGGTTTATATATGGAGGGGGTGGTCTGGCCTTGGCCGTTGGATCAGGCACGATCAATGGCCTGGATCAGTTCATTTAAAAGAGACGGTGTCATTTTAGGGTAGTGCTGGGGAGGGGTCAATCCGGGGGCAAGTGGGTCGGGTTGTGGGGATTGTTCTGAAGCGTTGGATCAAATGAAATGGGTGGCCTGGATCTATCGGCTATATACGACGTCGTTTGGACATATCTAGGGATTGACTGAACCATTCGATCAAGTGAGATCAACGGCCCAGATTTTTCATGCCAAAACGGCGTCGTTCCATCCTCCCTCAAGGATGGTTGGGTTGGACCGGGCAAGAGGGTGTTTGGACTGGGCCTGGACTCTCTTTTACAATTGGCCCGGTCCGATTTTCTCTTGTTTTTCTTCTTTTTCTTCTATTTTCTTTTTAATTCAAAATTCCTAAATTGAATTGAAAAACCAAGATTATTTAAAAAGATATTAATTAACCCTTAACAACAATTAACACACAAGATCAAAAATAAAATCGCACAATTTAAACAATAAAATGACAAACTACCGGAATTCATATTTTTTGTAATTTTCATTCTTTAAAATAGGACGTGGTTTAATTAATTCCAAAATGCATAATTAAATCCTAAATGCACATGCAACACATATTTTTGTATTTTTCTCATTTAAAGTAGAAACAAACATGCGCAGACAAAAACACAAATAAATTGCAAACAACACAAAACCATTTTGTTTTGAATTTTTGGGAGTAGTTCTCATAGGGCAAAAATCACGTGCTCACAACTGCCCCTCTTTATCCGGAAACATAAAGAGTTTCCGTGCAAAGATAAAGTGAGCGGATACGAGCGATTTT